GAAGGATGAGACATAACAGTTATTGTGGTTTGCTGAGAAGAGTCTGGTTATTGATAACAAGAATATCGAACAACTATTGTCACCCTACGAGTATAGCTAGCACAAAACCATATATACCATAGATGAAAACAAGACCGTAAATAGAAAACAAGACCATCAATAGAAAACAAGACCATTAATAGAGAAGGCTGGACACGGACACGGGCACGTGGAGACCCCTTGATCTGTGATTGTCTTACAACTCCAGTACCTTCACCAGTCGGCAATGGTGTCCCAAAGAAACAGAGGTTTTTGCCGGAACTTCGGCACACGAGTATACCGACAACCTCGTGGAACAGGTAAGCCAGGTACTGGCCGGACGTCAATCCGTGATAACATATGTAGGGCCCCTGTCCTTATTCACACTGGCAAATCAAAAAGGAAAACACCTAAAGAGAGAAAGAATGTGACGTGTGGAATGCCGTACTATCTCGTCTTCATCGACAGCACATGCGAAAAACTGATAATTCTACTGATTACTCAGTTAGCGGAGCATCTTGCACTGACTAAAGATCTGCTAGTAGTGTTCATGCTGTTGCAGAAGGATGGGAGTCCACTGTAGCGATATCTAAATTGATCGATTTCAGATTTCAGAGCTTATTGGATTGGTAACATCAAGTCTTAATAAATGTTTCTTAAACTTCTTACCATCGTCTGATCCGAATAACTCAGCAGTTTTCCGATGTTCCTAGCCACGCGATAGAAGTATTAATGGTTCGTAAGCGAGCGAAATTTCTTATGATTTCTTTAATGATATTTTCCAAACCTCCCAGATCTTTCGCTGCATGGTTTGAAAACCCAATAGCTGCTGGACTTCAACCTGGTTTCGTGTCTGAGTATTCGCCCCAGGGCGAGCTCATTAACTAACCTCATCTTGTTCAATCTCGTCAGCACTGACCAATTTATTCTTTCTTCGTAATCCGGAATATCATCCGGGGTAGTTCCTGGGTGGTTTCTAATGTAAACAAACCTGGTAAAAGTACGCTGGACTTTCCCCAGTTTGGTCACCTCTCTCTTGAGACTGGGGTTCTATGGCGAGAGCAATAGTTCAGATGAGGTATTACATACGCATTATATAAACGCAGTAGTATTTTAGGCTCCTTCATCTGGGTGTTACGGGAAATTATGGAGAGAGCAACGAAAGCTTTTTTGCCACCCTATCAATGGGGCTGTGAACTTTGAGTCAGACTGTAGTAAAATACCTAAATCTTTTACGCATGTGCATTTAGCCAAGATAGTGCTATTTATTTTATACTCAATCTGCACCGCATCACCTAAATGGAGGATTGTGCACTTGTTAATATTTATTGGAAGCCCTCGTGCGGCAACCCAATCCACCAGTCTCGTAATAGAAAGCTGAAGCGCTGCTTGCACCTCCTTTTTATTGCAGCCATCGTATGTGGCATAGAGCTTCATGTCTTCCGTATACATCTGGAATTTTACCTCAGGTGACGATTTGAACTAGCGGGCAAGTCCATTGTATAAATCAGAAAAAGCTGTGGTGATAGCACGCCCCTGAGGGACATGACTGCTGGAGTGGTGCCTGTCAGAAAAGCTGCGCCGCACTTTGATGGTCATGTGTCTGCCTTGCAAATACGAATTTAGCCACTCAAAGAGTTTTCCCGTAACACCGAGGTGACGAAGCTTGGCAATTTAACTCTGATGGCATACTGTATCGAAAGCCTTGGATAAGCCAACGGAAGCAATATCCACAAATCTACCGCTATTTAATGCTAGCGTCCAATCATGCATGCTGTCCAGCAAATTAGACGGCGTCGAGGACCCGCTCACCCGCTCAAGAAGCCATGCTGTTTTTTCGGTATCACTCGGAATCCTTCCAACCAAGCTATCATCTTATCCCTGATATTGCACTGTACTTATAATTACTGTACATATAATTACTTTTCGGAGGGAACTCAAGTGCATGGGGCAATCCAAAACAGAGCACTTTATTACTTCGAAGCATCGATTTATAGAGTTCGACAAGCGGAGTTTAATGGTATCTTCAGCTCTTGTAATACTCCACTCTGAACCGACTTATGGAGAAAAGGCGAAAAAGGAGCGAGTTAGCGGTTTTCGCGTGAATGCGAGTTTTTACGGCGCGTGCTGTTATTCATTCCAAGGCTTCGCCAATTGAGCAAATGTGATTTTTTTAGAACTAGCTGCAAAGGCATGTTATGTAAGGAAACAGTGTTTTCTCAACGTGACTCTTCAGATATAATGCTGCTACTGACCAGTGGACGTCTGACTTTGCTCCTTCTGATCGATGCTCATTCAGTGTAGCTGGTCTTGAACACAATTTCTATGTAGTGGGAGGCAGCGAGGATTGTTTCCCAGCAAGCGGGGAGGAATATTCTCGAAAGCTTGACATCGTTGAACGGTAGGAATAGCTTTGATCGAATTTTGCATACGCTGAATTCAGTTGTCTCGCTGCAGCTATGGCGTTCGACAAAATGGGTGGACCTCTGTGGCACCTATGGTCGAGAGGATCTCTCTATCTCCGCATTAGATGGTTGCCTATACGCAATAGGATACCGTAGAGAGGTGGGTAGAGGGGTAGAGTCTTAATCTGGTTGTGGAGCAGAGTTTATCAGCACTCAGTATCTTTATTACTCTCATATCATATTTTTCGTTATTACTCTTAATCTCAATATCTTCATTATCTTTTGTGCTTAATCCGAACAACTCTTTGAAACATCCACAAATGAGGCCAGTGAGAACTTTGGGCGGTCAGAGCTCCTACAAATGATTTTTCATTGAAGGCAAGAATAGGCTCAATTTCTCACAAGTTCTTCAAAACGAACTGGTCATCATACAGTTCAAGCCACGTAGGAGTATTGTACCTCCCTGTTTTCGGAATGAATAGAGGCAGACGACAGTAAAGTTTTCCGGTAGAATGGTGAGATTTGTGATAAGCCGTAAGTAAGCTGATTGCATTGCGCTTGCAATAGTCTTGTAGCAGATTTTTTTCTTTCATGGTTTTTTTTTCTGGATGAGTTGTGATTGAATGTTAAATATTCAAAACAGCCATAAGAACAGCTTGTGAGAATCCAGGTTCGATACACGAGTTGGTAGTTGGGGAGAGGTCTGTCCCATGTGAACAGCTCGACATAGACATGGCTGTGCAGTGCTCCATGGCGAATGGCTGCAACGACGACGACGAACTGAGCTCTGCTGAAAAGTTGGGCCTACGTGCTAATAAGTGGACTTCAGTGGCTGATATGAGCTGTAGGCGAGATGGTGTAAGTCAGCTGTGTTCCTTTTACCCCATTATTCCTTTTTTTAATGAAAAGTTCAGATGGGACTGGCTACAGTCAATGGAAAACTGTACGCTATAGGTGGAATTGGTCATGAATCGGTTGAAGTTTTCGATCCTGAGACGAACCAGTGGGAACACCACAGTAATGTGAATTGCGGGTTAGTTGACGTTTACAACAACTTGCTCATTTTTCAAGCTTTCCTCGCCAAACTCCTTAAGAGTTGCTGCTCTGGCGTGGCGGTTCTACAGCAGCCATTGCAATCCAGAAAGCAAAACACATTTTTAAAGGTTGCAACATCTTTTCCCCGCTTTCGTATTCCTCATTGTCCCTGAGAATCATGGACTTTTTATTGGATGTTTTATGGTGATAATTACTTTTCTTCGAAGATTAATCAATAAATTTTTGTCAGTTTATAGAAGCTGACCTGTACTTCTGCTTCTCCTGAGTGGCTTTTGATGACCAATTTTTAACTTGTAAATTGATAGATTTGTTGAACAGCTTCGTAAAAAAGGAATTGATCAGTATGCTAGGGAGGGTGCTCAGATTCAGATTTCTCAGGAGAAGTTACACAGACTTGTATGTAAAGGTCACAGCATACATGAAGCGAAATGAGCAATATCCACGAGTTTTTTCCCTTCACTTGATAAAGGAAGGCTCCAAAGATGATGTGCTTTATCACTGTCGCGACGGGCGTTCACTCCACGAGGCACGACGGTGGAAAGAAGTTGTGGAGTGAACGCCGCCGTGACTTCCGAGAAGAGCACGAGGTTACTGCGCTTGTCAACCTCGCCTTGCCACGGTGTTGGCGGTCCTCTTCCTTGTGCGGTGCTCCTTGGTGTAACGTGCGTCCCTGCGATCCAATTATTGCGACCACTGTGACCCTGCGCTCGAACACGTGGGTCGCCAATGCGCGTCGACCCTCCTGCTCATGCGTAGTGGCGTTAGCCGGGGGGCGTTCGGCACGTCCGGCCGCTACTCGAAGCGGAGCAGGAGTTCCCACTCTATTTATCCACACGACGACCAGGGTCTCACCTTCCACGGGTTGCGCACCAGGGGCTGTCCGCAGAATGGACAGCTGCACAGAGGGATATCGTCACCATTGAAAACATAAACCTCACCCGTGGTCGTGTGAGACAATCCTCCTCAGCTTGCCGGTCCTTGGTGAAAACTGCGCATACACTGTGATCGTTCAATCCCGTAGAGAAGTTAGTAGGAATAACTGACGTCGGGACTGCGGGCGAATAGCTTGGGACTAGCGAGGGAATGTCGAAGATGGGGTAAGGAACCATGCAGAGCTCCTGCCGAATCATGCGCCGTGTAAGTCGAGACTGACGAAGACTGCCTACCTTTTTTAGGCCAACTTTTCCTGTCCGCCGATACGCAGGCAAAGACTGCAACGCAGTTGCGCAGTAGGACCCAGTGCGGAACTCTAACGACCCTTAAATAAGCGTTGTAGTTCCTCTGCGCGTGAGATGTAGTGCAACGACCGCAATAGAAGACGGTGCGCAAAGAGGTCGTACAAAAGTCACGACGAGCGGCGAGAAGACGAAGCTGCTCGTGGGGGTCGACGGCATTGCTTACCTACGGGAATATACAAACAAGTAATCGACGCCCACCGGACTGGGTCACCATGTGTTTTCCCCAGGTCACATGGGTGCGAGGTACCATGGGTTATCACGGCTACGGGGTCAAGTAGTTAGGTCACAACAATTGTTGGCTAACAAAACATAAAACACAGTAAGCGAAATCAACAATGAAGATCACATGTAGGTTCCTGAGGCTGATCGACTCGTGGAGGTAGTATCCATGTCGGCAGTGCTTTGACCATTTTGTTGGCGATGAAGACGACTGAGAGGAGTAGAGTCCTAGTGATTTTGAGGCAGGACTCTGAGCTCCTTGGGTCATTTTGGCGTGAGGGAGAGATTTTCTCACCACTCCTGACGAAAGGATTTTCCACAGGGTTAGCGAATGGCACGTGGCTCAAACCCAGGTTTTGCGAAAAAGGATGACGCGGTCTCCCTCCGCGTGCCCCGGGGTTGTGTTAGTACGAGCTGGTAATTTTTTGTCCCAAAAGCACAAGAATTGGGCGTGCGCCTAGAAGGTGCTGCGCGTAAGGCAACTTGCATAGGTTTGTGTGTGAAATGAGTTACGGCGCTTTGATCGATACTGCGCGAATTTTGTGTGCCAAACGAGGTTCTGCGCTTTCACAAACATGGATTCTGCGCGTTGAAGGACGACGAACGAAACTGCGCGAATTTCCCGTGAAAAATGTGACTTTGCGCGTGAAATTGAACGGGTTTTGTGAAAAAACCAGTTCAATCGTTTTTGTTTAAAAAACGGACTCTATGCGTAAAAAATTACACTAGTTTTCGTGGAAAACCGGGCTCTGCGCGAAAAAGAATTACCCTGGTTTTCGTAAAAAAAACCGGATTCTGCGTGAAAAAATTACACTGCTTTTCATAAAACCTCAGACAATGCGCGTAATAAATTTTCCATGGCTCTGCCCTCCGCTCGCACTAAGCGTGCGTGATTTTTAGCGTGACTCAGATCATGTCTGAAGCTGACCTGCCCTAAATCGTTCATGACGTGGTGGTTACTGTAACATAGGGCGGTGTGGTGGTCGACTCGCCTGCACACTCTGCATCGTGCAAGCGAGTCGCATGAGTCTTCGCCGTGATCCCCACCACACTTAAAACACCTGCCGTTCTCGGCGTGGATTTTAATGGGTTCACTTAGGCGCCGCACCCTGTTACAACCCGATGAAAAGTGCAAATATGCACAGAAAAGGCAACGGGCTTTTTGTACTTTAGTGCTTGGGTCGTACAGGGTGGGCGCCCATTGGGTGGGGTATTGCCTCGGGGTGATGTACACAGTATTAGCACTGCGTTCGTATGGGGCACGTTCGCCCACCAAGGGGGACCCCCAGTACTACTACTGCGTTCACGTGGGGCGTGCTCACACACTAAGGGGAGGCCCTCAGTATTACCACTGCGTTCACGTGGGCACGCTCACCCACTAAGGGGGGCTCCCATCCTCCTGCACCCCAGTGGACGATGACTTCTGGGCCTTATAAGCCTCTTCACCTCCTGTTACCTCATTACACTCACTTTTGCCGATTTCGGACATTGACTCTGCGCTTTTCTTCACTTCCGACCGTGCGCGTTTCCTTTCTAGAATTTTGTCTAGATATTCGCGATGTAGTTTTGTTAGTTTATCCAAAAGTTGCTTTCCTTCGAATGTCGACATGGCGGCTTTGCTTGCTATTGCCTGAAAATCGTGTACTTGTAAATTATGCTGGCGTAACGTTTCTTCTAGCTTGGTGATGGGATTGTGTGCAAAATACTCTGTTNGGAAAAAAAGTTAGACTTTAATGTGGCTTCTAGAAGCGTTGTCAATCAAATTCTGAATACATTGTATCTCTTCAAAAATTGCAGTGGGATCTGATCAAAAAAATTGTCATGCTCGAATTCAGTCACGTAATCATACATTTCGCGGACATATGACTCTTCATCCTTCAACTCTTTAACAACCTCATTTACCGTGAACTGTCTTTCGTCTAGCGCGTTGACTTCCGTCTCCATCTTAGCACTTGAACTTGACATCGCGTGAGGTTGGTCAGGCCTCTTTAAAGCTTACCTCCTCTTCTTCTCCTTATTCCTTAGCGTTTGTCCCGCTTGTAAGCGGGGCCCGCTTTTCTGATATGTTGACGCCACTTCTCCCGATTGAATGCCTGATCGGGGGTGGATGTTAACCGCCTTAACATCGCATCATGGGTCTTCCATACGTTGCGTGGCTTTCGGACTAGCTTAATTGCCCCCGATGCCGCCCTTGCACCGGAGACCCCCGCTTACTTTTCACACTCACCGGGCCTTGCGAGTGCGCGTCGGCTCCCGCGGACGCCGACGTCGAAATTCTTTAAGTGACATTAACATTTTTGATGTGACTGGGGTGTTCGTATGCCGGCCTGTCTCGGAGCCTGTCGCCTGGATTCGAATGTCCGCGGTCAGCTCAGCCCACAGTGTGGGCAGTTTCCAGTGGCACCTCTTGGAGAAAAGGACGTCGCACCCTCTTTGACGCTCACCTCAAAGAGGCAAAATAAATTACTATACTACTATTCTATATTACGACCGTTCCTGCGCATAAAATTACTCGATTCACGATAATTAACAAAAACTTTGTGTTAGTAAGAGGTAATGCGCGAGATGTTAGTACGGAATAACATCAATGTCTTAACAAGCAGTAAAAGTGTGAATGATTTGCATTAATAAAGATGGTTAGGAATGGCTAAGAATGGGGGTTTGGTCAGGAGCGCTTGCGTGCGTGTGCAGTGTACGCAGGATGGAAGGTGCGCGCTGTTATAAGGTTATCTGAAAATAACAAAGGGTCTCCTTCAGGAGGTAGCGGGCTATGATATGCGCGCTAGCATGGAACTAGGTATGAAGAGTATGAGTGAATTAATTTAGGCAAACCCATTGTGTAGTGATCAATGCAACGACAAAATGATGTTTGATACGCAGACGTTTTGGTTGCGTACCACGTTAAAACAAACATGACAAAAAAGGGGGTGCCACCACACAATAGGTTCAAAAAGAAAAGGTGCGCTTATAAGAACAAGTAATTGCGCGAAATGAACAACTTGAATAAAAGAATAAGGAACATTGAAACAAAGCGAATAATGAACAGAAAGAACTAGCAACAATTTTACTGTACCCTGCACTGAAAGAAAGAAATGCAAAAAATTGCGCTGAAAAGGGTACCTGACCAGGAACGCGTTTATTTAGTGGAAGGTTGTGCAGTTTGAATAATCGTCCCGCGCATGGGCGTATGAATTCAGCTCATTGAGGAGCGCCAGTATTGCGCGGCTTAGCAGTTGGAATTCACCTAATATTCAGGATCGCTATCATTCATTTCTGTTCTGCAGCTTGCATTATTTTCGCACGCGCATGATTGGATGGGAGTTAGGAGGCTCTAACTTCAAAGTGGACTTGCACGTCGCTGGCTGTTGGTCTCCCGCTACCTCCGAACTATTATTTTTTCTAATTATTCTTCTTCTCCCACTACTGTCGCGGATTCTGTAAGCATATTCTATTTTCTGCAGAGCTGTAGCTCTGCAAAAGATACTGCTATAGGTAACCGGATTCTTATGTAAGTCTTCCTCTTGAGTTTTACAACTGTTGTCGTAAGCGCATAGCGTCATGACCCTGGTGTGGCTTTGAAGAGGGCGACAAAAATTATGACTAAATACTCCACAATGTGAGAATATGCTATTGGAGATGCTATTCCATGAAACTATTGATACTTGGTAACACCTCACAACTAGTATCCATCTGTCCTCCTAGGCATGAAACATTTACCTTGTGTCGGTTCGCTTGGCCATCTGACAGTTTGAGATTCGCCTGTTAATCTGCCCATCCGTGAGAATTCCCGTGATTATTTTCATGATCAAAATATGGAAATCCCTCTTCAAGGTAAGGTAGTATTAATTAGGAAGTGTTGAAGGATAGCTTAGAATGTCAGTGATAGCACTAATTATATTACAAGATTACCAACTTTGCCTTGTCAGTTCCAACCAGTTGGTTACCATTGATCGATTTGTGGCGTGATTGATCAGATTCACAACTTGTCTTTATTCCATAGCGGAGCAACCGAAATGATAGGGTATACACGCTACTGTTGGTACTTCAGCACTATGACTATGTTGGTACTTCAATAGTTTCCAAATGCACCTCTTTCAGTATTGTCGTGAGTTGATTGAAGTTGAGTGATTGAAAGTTTGATAGATTCGCCCTTGTAACCAGGAACTTCTGCAGTAATTAACGCACTGCGAGCTCTGAATTAATGGAAGTGTTATGTTATCCTTTCTGAAGACAGGAGCTCCAAAATCACCGGTCGCTCTTTTTCCAACAATCTTACTACGGGTTTGACGTCGAATTTCCCGGTTTCATTAGAACGGTGGTATTTTTTGGATGCACACACACGAAGGTTGATGAAAGAGAAGACATTATGTCTAATGTCTAATCTTACAATCAAGCTCGCTTTGCTTCAACTGCGTTTGCATGGGGAAGTAAAGGGAAGTACCAGAAGTGAACACACAGTGGACATATTTGTGCATGAGTCTGATTAAAAGCAAAGAAATAAAGTTCTCGGTTCGGAAAGAGTAAGGACTTAATCCCTCTTTTGAAACCACCCGAGGGTCGCGACGCTGCTCACGACAATATTTCAAGAGGAGGATCTGTACATTGATTGCTCACGCACAGCATTATACCTTGCAGTAACAATGGTCATAGATCTATATCCAGAAGAAACAGGGTGGGAGAAAAATAAGACGCATCGGACTTGTGGTGGTGAAGCAGGAATAATTAAGTGAAAGGGTTAGACTTTTGGTAGTACCAGCAACGAGGAAGTCTACTGCAAGGTTAAAGTGATAGGCTACTGCAACCTTAAAGTTTCAGTTGTAAGTACATTCAAATATGCGAGCGCGGGAAGATTATTCAAAACCTTCCACTAAATAAACGCGTTCCCTGACCAGGCTGCGCGTGGTTGTTGCGATGAATATGAATACCAGAGTCGTTAAGAACAGCAGCGAATACGAA